CACTGAAAATTCATTTGCAGCATTTCGTTGGACAGTACTGTCATTTATTTGTTTCTCCTCCCTGTCGTGTATTTTAGCCTTTATTCAGATATCTTTTATCCACATTTTGTGATCTTCAGTCATCATTGTCTGAGCTTTTATTATGTGGCTTTGATCAAAGACTCACATTTTGTTGCCCAATTTTCTATTGCATGATGCCGGAATATTGACAATAAGGTCGTGTTTGACTAGTATCAAGGTCACGGCGTGGTTCAGTGTGTGACTGTTAACCTTTGAATGTCTGCTTTTAAATACTGCTGCAGATAGATATATGATCCCATTTTGTTGGAAACAGTTTTATTCATTCTCATGTATTGAACTATTTTGTATCAACTGTTTCTTTTGTTGTTTAGCACGCCAGTTTGTGTTAGAGAAACCATTAACTGCATAGCACAGGTTGTACCGTTCGAAGTATTTCGTATATTCGATATAAATTGTTTTCTTTCCTGAATTAGAACCATTTAAATTGAGCGCAGAGTTTGTTTTGATATAATGTAATACGAGTAACCCAAAAACGTTTTGTGTGCTGTACGGACGAACGTAGTCTGGTCTAATCGAATAGATTTTGATTCGTTAGTTTTGCGTTCGAACAGGATATTGGCTTTCGGTCGTCACAAACAATCCTCCAGGTATTAATAAACTCAAACATCAAACAAAAGGCACCAGAACCAAGAGATTTATAGCATAATAATGACATAAGAATTTTCCGGTTCGATATCAGTGTTTACAAAAAATGGTCATTTTTGACATTCTTTGTGTCAAATGTTTAGTGTAAATCTTCTCAGTTATCGTACTTTCGGCTACAGGAATCATGTAGTTGAGATCCAGGGTCACTGAAAAGTCACTCTACGATTTTAGTGACACTCTTTTTGCACGTGTGATGACCTTCACTTCAATCTTTCATGATGGGTAACCGAAATACATTGACAGCAAACAAAAAGAAGCCTTTGGTGCGCGCATACTATTTTTGAACATTAAGTTAAACGTATATTAGTAATTAAACTAGACGGTGTAACCATTCATTCTCATGAACCACAAACAACTGTGCCATGATAGTGAGTATTGTCACCGAGTGAGAAAGCCTTTCTAGAGCGGTAAACAACAAGGATTACAGACATAATGATCAGAAATACCACAATTTACAATCCAAACTCATGTTCGTATTGTTGGTATGGACCATTGTCAGTGTTGATGTAACTTCGAAAATATTGCCCTCAGTTTATACGAGCTTTGCGGATGATGTTCCCAAATGGGTGTACTACTAGATAACCTACTGAACCAACGGGATTGTAAGGTATTTACCATCAACAGCTCATATCTCCGAAAGTGGATACAATAAGGCTATATAATTACCAAAAATAACTACGAGGAACCTCAAAACTACTACCTGTCAGAAAATAACAGCAGTCTTGCCGAGCGAAGAGCACAGTTCCAAACTACGGGATATATCATTTTGATCCATTCAAAATGAAATGATCAAATGTATAGAGCAATGAAAAATATTGACGTTCAGAGCAACAAAAGATAATTACTTGTCAAAAAGGCGCTTCCAGTAAAACTAGAAACGTAATTCAGTGGGAAAATGAAATGATGAAATTAATCGATCTAAGATCAAACGACTGTGGCAGCCACCATAGTCAGAGGTTAATTGAATCGGACCGATTTAAAACATGAAATACTAAAGTAGGATTAGCAACTTGTGGGAAACGCAAGGTGTGTAAACTGTTGGACCAAGTTTATATCCTACTAAATATTAAAAAGTATATAAAAAAGCAAATACGTGACATAGGTATATTAATGATTAACGAGATGTCCTTTCTAAAGTCCCTACACAGATTCTGAGATGAATGCCTGTTTAGATGTAGTAATGACGTAGGTGTCGCTCTTCTAAGATTAGTGACTACTTCTGAATTTCTTGTATTGTAAGGCATGTGATCATTAGAATGTTACTTCCCGAAAGGATAGTTACTACGTATCCAAGTAAACGCTTCTTAAAAGCTTGTCATGCAGATGCAGCCGACTATGTACTATTTCAAATTTATCTATTGAACCGTGAGAGTTTGGGAAAGTAATCTGACATTTAATAAAATTATTATAGTACTATATTGCAGTTAATTGAAATACTTGTTTATCGAAAAGTTTTTCCTCGAAAATAATACGAAGGTACTACTAATGTATTTATAATCTCGTCATTATCTTATAAAGTGCTGTAGTACTGGTGGTATTCACCCACCAGTTTCTCGCGCGAAATCGGTTGACATATTCTCGTGATAAAATATAACACGCAAACGTTTCGAGTCTTACATGTATATGTGTTATAATTTGAGAGTCGGTTATTATTTGTGTAATGCCTCTTTGAAACTAATGGCAGACTTTTCATGGCCATATATTTTGCCACTTACAGGTAATAATAAGGTGCGAAATTCCTGGAGCTTTAAATGGATTTACTTTGTTACCAGGAAAAGCCGTAGTTTGTATACCGGCTTGTCACAAATAACATCACAATTTTAGAACTAATCGTCAAACTAACATAAAGTTTGTCTGCAGCTTAATGCCTAGTACGTATACAGTCAAGTGCTGATATACATTTGGCTGAAAACTTTATCTGTATAAGTTTTGTTCCGAAAGGATATTGTATATCCTAACAATTATGATTGCATTTAGTTAATAGATAATAAGTAGCTACCAATTTTTGTCACTTATCAGCATAATAAACAATAACTGTGTCCCAAAATATAACAGTATTATCGCACTTTTCTTTTTTTTCCATTTTTCATATGAAGAAGGAAAGAATAGTATTCCACCTCGGTAAACTATTTTTCATTTTGTCGAACAGTATGAGGTAAAGACATTTAAATTCGCTAAATATAAAAGACATGTAGGGTGTATCGTTATTTTTATTCACATAAATCAAAATCTTGATACCATAGAAACATCGCGATACCATGTTTACGTAGAACGACGAGGACCAAATAACTGGTGTTAAATACCTGAGGGGAACCAGGAAGAAGTCACTTCATTGGGTGTATTGGTTCAGTAACCTCTCTTCCCATAGGCCTAGGTCTTTACTCAGAGATCACGACAACACTGCTCCTGTGAAGTTCTGGAGAGATTGTCTGAAAAATGACTATCTCATCCAGAGGCAGCATCATGCTCAAGAATTACCCGCTCGAACTAATGGGAGGTAAGTACAAAAAATGTTGATGCGGAACCTATAATTTTCACAAATGGATGCTATTTTTAGTGGGCAGCAATTTGTAAGTAAGTCAAATACCGATAGTCTCAGCAGCTCCAGCTATATAAGCGTAAATTGAAGTTGCTACAATAAAAATATAATAACTGGATACAGGTCATATAATAAGGTCCTATTACTTGTTCGTAGTTTTAGTAAGGCCTGAGACTAGTTCTGAGATCTATGAAGTAGCTGTGGAGCCATTCAGGAGGGTTTCTGACAAACAGGTACTGATGAGCTGACGGGATCGTCTAGTTCATTGAAATACAGTCAGTCAATATACATTGATTACGGGGATCATAAGCTATTGGAATTAGCTCTGTCCTATTTGACTTATTTTCATGTGACTAGTTGAATGGCAAGCGATTCATTCTTTGAACTAATCCTTTCTTTATCTTTAATTATTAATCTACCTGGCGCTCTCGTTTCTTCAACTCTGTTTTGTGCAAGTGGTATTAAGATTTGGTCCGAAACACCAGTTCCTGTTGATATACTAAATGCAAAGGAAGATTCGTATGAGATTTGTAGCAGGACCAATAGAAAGTCCCACTGCAGATTGATAATGGTGAAGAGTAACGGAGCTTTTCCAACCTCTTCCTTTATGGACGGCCCTTTGCGACCAAACTACATTCTGGGATTTACCCCGTCTGAGAGTTCGGGCGCATCTTAATACTGTGATTTTGCTGCCAATGAAGTATACACTACCTTGTTATCTCTTTCCAGAACGTTAAGTAGCATGTCTTGAGAGCTATTCACAACCGTTTTTAGTATTTACTGACAGCCAAACCTGGAAAATATCCCATTTTGTCCCCAATGCCTGAAAAGAGCACCACTTTCCCGAAAAATTCAGATAAGAAAAATCTAGAAGGTCTCGGGAATAACCTTACTCGTCCCTCCAAATGACTTTTGACTTGAAGCGTTTGTGACTGAACCAGTGACACCACCAAAGGATTGTTGATATGCTTAGTTGCTGAATTAAATGTAAAAAGGCATATATTTGGCAGAGAAGAAAGAAGAAAAAACAGAAAATCGCGTGTACATTTCTTCATATTCGGAATTTGCAAATTTTCGATCGCTTCGGTCGAAGCGATAGTAACGGCATCTTTCATATGTTCTTTAAAACACAGCCTAACGATTAACTAAACCTTGTCGTTACTCAAGAACCAAGTTATTTTTGAGGATTGAAATTGTGGTGGACCAGACAGATATGAACGCGAAAAGTATCAACAAAGTTACTAAAGATCAATAGAAATATTAATATATACCAGTTAATTGTTACAAATACAATAAAATTTTGGGACGCTACTTAAATTGGCCAAATGTTGCGTGTTCTGATTGGGTCCGGTATTGTAAATCCAAAATTATAAATGCTTGGTGATTCTGAGCGGGTTGACGAACTCTCCAGTGATATAATCCAACGTAGAATGTGATATATTCCAATTACAGTCTATAAATAATGATAGTATTTGATTTAGAATTCAGTTAACTCAATCACAAGCGAAGATAGAACGAGGAATGTGTGAGTAGTAGTGTATTTGTTAGCCAGCAAGAGTATGTCACGCTATGTCAGTATCATAACGGAAAGTGTGTTCAAGGTCATTTACTAAAACAACAGTTACAGTCATTTAATGTTAAATATACATACAGTGGAAGGTTGACAAAATAAATACAAATAACATTGAAAACGTTTTTCAAAATAAGCTTGTCAGGCCTATGTCCACAAAATCAGTAGCGCTGGTTTTAACAGTGGCGTTGCTTATACTCCTCCGAAGGTGTTTTTGTCATTCATTTCAATTTAGTCGCGGTAACTGTGTATGAACTGATAGATTTTTGTAGTCATGCCACAGGATAATAAAACATTTTATCGTGAGATAACACTTTCGTCCATTATTTCACGACATGGTGCTGAATATCCTCAATCTCCCAATTTAGGGTAAAGTTTGACCCATTTTGTGGAAATTTGGAGAAGCCTCTTTAGAAAAGTTTTGTGAAATGGCATATAGATCTCAATATTACCTCTTAACATTGGTGAGGGTCATTTGGTTATGGGGATCCACTTAAAATTTCAGCAAACTGGGGAAATTAGGTTGTCGTCGAAGACGACTCTCAAAGTCACGTTGAACTCACTGTCAGACATAAAAATGTTCATTAGAATGCGTACATTATAAATGTAAATACTTGAAATGTCTAAAGTATCTTCTACGTCAACAAATGTATGACGATGGTTTCAAGGACGTACCTAACATAGATTCTACGGGCTTTTGTGAAATTAATGTTACAACCTACTCACAATTGTGAGTAGGTTGAGTGTTCAGATTCACGTTTGTTTATTAAGGATTAAAGCTCAGCCTCCTGTGTTTATTCTTTTCCGACAACTGTGAGTTTCTAGTCTTTCCACGAGCTGGAGGTGCGAACAACACTTCTTCAGGTAGCAGATCCTAAGAGTTGGTAGTTTTGTAAGAAAACATATATACAAAGAGTATTTTACTTGTCCTTAGTTTCTGAGTTAGATTTTCATGTTCACTGGGTTGTCATAATCTATTTGTCAGATATGAAAATATTTATTGGGATTTTCTACATCGAAATCTAATCACCCCTTGATACGCGATAACTTCTTAAGCTGCCTTGTGTGGCAAACCCCAGGTCTCTAGATTTGCGTGGGTTCCTTTCTTTTGTACATATTTCAGGATGTATTAGTCACCTTTTGAACAGGAGATGAACATGAACGCAGTTGTAAAGTTTGAATCACACTAAGGTGATGTGTACTACGGTGAACATGCTTGTGTCCAATATGTTAAATATCCGTCTTAAGGTTCATAGGATTCTAAAACTTTTAGCTGCAGCTGCACCGCTGTGAGGCATGGTCTTGAGGTCGTGGCTCACTATTACCCGATCATCCCAAAACAAAACTAAGATCACCAACGCCTCCTCCAAGCGCATTTTATTGTATCGGCAATGTGCATGTAGATATGTTTCACCACGTCGATAGGCATTGACTATATTTTAGACCAGCTAAGAGGAATGTTTGGTCCGAGCTGTAGTGCACATGCTTCTGCATCCCCGTTACTTTTCTCCAAATTTTGAATTCATCACCATAAAATGTAGATGTAAAGGACCTAGAACAGAGCTTGGTGGTACTCTACTAAGTACTGGTTTCGATGAAGAAATTTACTCTTATTTTTTGTCGACGACCTATCAATAAATGTTTGATCCGTTTTAGAAAAAGGTACTTCAAGCCCTAGCTTTTCCAGTTTTGGGAAAAGTCTGTTATGCGATACCGCATTGAATGATTTACTGATTTCAACGTAAACAACGCCAGCTGGTTTCCTATTATTGAACGAATCGGTTCATCACTCTCTTGCTATAATGAGGTTAGTTATGCGGGATAATCCTTTACTGAAACCATGTTTCTCACTGACTAACAAGTTGTTAGTTTCCATGATCATAATGGCTTTTTTAGTTACTCTCTCCAGCGTCTTAACTACGACGCTAATGAGGCCGATAGATCTGTAGTTTGATTGGTGTTGTCTTGATCATATCTTGTAAGTTGGAGTGACAGTTGCATTTTCTCAGTCCACAGGTAACTTACTCTGGCTGAGTAGTATTCCAGAGTTCGTTGTCAGCTGGGTAAAAATGTATAATTTAACTTGTCTCAGGATTTTGGGGTACAGCCCTTCCGGTCCTGTTGATTTTTCCATTTCTAAAATCCTTCGTACTTTTAGTACGTTCTTTTTTGATGGTTTTAAGAGTCGTAGTACGTGATACGTAAGAAGCAGCTTTTCCACACTCGTCTGCCTAGCTGGTAACGGATTTAAACCAAATAACATCTTTTTTCTTCAAAGTTTGAAGGTTGTCATCTATCACAACTGTTTTTTGCTGAAATATTGTCAATAAAGTCAGTGTGTTCAATCTTTGGTTCGTGAAGTTGGGAAGTATAAATGTTTGAAATGCCATTCATAAATAATTGTGGATAAGCTTTATAGAATCGCTCTGCAGACGGAAATGTACGTTGTTACTGACTGACTGACTGACAGCTGACTCACAGTTTAAGGATTTTAGCGCTGATTTCTGTTTCGTAACCAGCGCTGGTAGCAATACAGAAAGTTGTGTCTGAATGTTTTATTTAATTGATACAAATTGTCCCAGCAATGCATGTTCACATACATTGTAGTTAAACTTTGTTTTCAAGCATTTTGTAAAATAAATTATACTCCATATTTATGTACCATAAGCTCTTTAATGAACATTTTCATTTTATATATTTCAGAAACAGTATAACATCCAATAAACTACAAAATGAAAGTTGATGATGTTGAACAAGATTGGTTGTTTTATCTTGCCCAACCAAATAAATTATTATCGGATATTGAGGGTCTAACTATATCACATCAGTTGGAGTTGCTTAAACAATCCTTATCACAGGCTGAAATAAGTGAAAGAAAAACTAGTCTCACTAATTGTGAAAATAATTCAGTGGACAACTTCATCGGAGAAAATGAAACTATGAATCCTGATGACATATTTGTCGAGTCGTCTAGGTTATTCAAAAAGTCAAAAGTTTTGGATATAATGTCCTTACAGATTGCTGCTAATCTAAAATTCAATCTAAATCTTTTTCGAGTCATATCAGAAATGCCCATTAAGCTTCTTGCACGTCTCTATAGAGTGCTCGTCATGAGTACTTCAAAATTTTCATCAGTTTTACAACCTCTTATTGAAAATGCGATAAATAAAGAAAATATTTTCATTATAAATCCTTACGGATACTATAGATGGTCTCAGTTAAATCCTATGACAATTTATGGTTTAATGTCTTACCATATATGGTGCCTTCATGTATGTTTGTGAATTCACATGATAATAATATAGTTTAGGTATCTCATACATCCAGTATGCTGCCACATCCCTTTCGAAATCTTACTCCTATTGTTTCTGGTTTAACTGAAATTCCTGAGGTGGCGTTTTTTGCGGATAATCGCGTGGAAGTTGGCGTTGTTCTCACTCGCATACAAGAGTCTGTAAATCAGCTAAACGAAATCAACAGTCTTTTGGATGATCTCAACATAGCTAGACCTCTTCCTTCAGTGTTTTCAGCGCTGAATTCCATGTTTCCTACAGTTTTTGAACCAAAGATTAAGTCTGCTCAGGATGATCAGAACCATAACGGTCTATCAGATTTTGTTCTTAATAACTCTGTACCTCTCTCTAAAAGCTATCTTTCTGCATCGCTTAACTTTGTACTCGGAAGGTATGCCTTTCAGCAGCAACAGTTTACTCAATCACAGAAACTTTTTCAAATCGCTTATGATGAAATGCAAGATCAAAAGGTATTTTACATTTATGTAGTTATTCGGTGAATGACTTTATCATTTTATTGACAGATGTTCAAAAGCAATAATTAACTTGCACTACATGGTTTATATTACAAATGATAAATAACTGTCTTTTTATTTACGAGAAATGAAAACAACTACCTTTTTCTCATCCCTTTAGACTGTAGCTTTTAAAGATTTTGAATGTCATCATATTTTAGAGATATTTCTTTTGGATGAATGAATTGAGAGGCATCGGTAATATAATGGCTGTTGCATTTCACAAATTCAAAATTAGAAAGTTTGACTATATGGGAAGGCTCTGACTTGGTTGGAGATGTTGTAATCTGTCAGTGTTTTTTGTGATGAGGAAATGGTCACTGTAATTGGGCAATGACATCATCAGTATACGGTTGTGGAGGTCGTTGAGTTTTGTTGAGATAACAGACCGGGTTAAGTTTAGCAACCATTGGAAACTTGCAAAGCTGTTTCGTTTAGACGTGACGAGTGGAGTTCAGTTGTGTTGGATACGAGGAAGTCACCCACATAAAACAATGGAAAATGGTCAAGCAGTATTGTGGATTGATTGAAGTTAGACTAGTACACCATCGAGTCTCAACTCAGTGGTTCAGAAGTTAAGTGTCCGCATGCGAAACCATACGTCCTGGGTTCGATTCCCGATTGAAGAATCGTGGATGCACATTGATGAGGAGTCCCGTACTAGGTCAGAACAGCTACCCAGTGCTTCCAGGTACTCAGTGTTTATCTAACTTGGGCCCTTTATGATCTCGTTGAAACTTATCAGTTTAGGCATCCGACTGAACTATAGTTTCAAACCGTAAGATTGAAAGTGGTGAGAACATACAGGTGAACCAAGTCATAGGATTAACTTAACAGTATCTTTTAAAGCTTTGTGTAAAAACCTCTAGGAGTCATTGGGCACCACAAAATCGAATAATAATATGGTCGAACTGTGAATCGGTTCTCGTAATTTTTAATCCATTGTAATGCATAGTGTTGTTTTGACAACTGACTCTTTCCATGTTATAACATCTTTCCCAAATTTCCAATTATTAACTTGTATTCACTTAAATTTATTTAACTGACCTTTAGTTTACATATATAAGTACATTGACAAGTATATACACATGACCAGGTTGTTCGAAGTGTATTGTGCAAGCACATCAAGTTTCACTTGTTTTCGTTGAGTCTGTTGTTCAGAAAAGGTTACTAATCAACTAGTGAGTAGTCTCAGTTTCTGTTTATGGTTAATTGAGTGTTTGCAGTCAGTAGGTAGGAGAGTGATTTGATATTTGTCAAGTTCGATGTTGTTATAAGCTGAAATGATCGTGAATCGATCACTTCTAACGGGTTTAACAGTTGATAATATAATTTAAATAACTTTTCTCCTTCAATTTAAGAACCATATCCACTCAGTTGACTCAGTCGCATAAATTGAGCTTGAGAGATTTTTGTACAGGTTGTTCTTCACAATTTACAAGTTTTATTTGCTGATTTGCTGAATGTACGCAAATCACATATTGTATTCGATCTTAGTTTTATTTTTGATTTGGACGCATAAACAACACAAACCGGGTACCAAAGTATGTATGATTCACACAAAGAAGTTATTATTCAATTTGTGTGTAATCTGGGACACTGTTCGAGTACCAAAACAGAGTCAGGTAGTTTCCTTAGGGGGCCAGTCCTCGAGCATTTGACATGGAGGTCTAATCCACAAGGCAGTAGAGCAACGTTAGGAAATGTGATCCCATGGTAGCCGGTGACCAATGATAGGTCCTTACGCCATCTGCTTCCTCACGATTCTGGAACACATGTGCAAGATTAGTTTGGAATCATGGTTTTCAAATTCCACTCAGTGAATCCTCCATACTCGCCAACCCAGTTAAATCGCCAGACATTTGCTTCTCGTTCTCGATCTCGTAAGCAACACCCTTGTCGTGAGAAGGCGGTGAGTAGGACTTCTCTGTTAGTGGCTATATACACATGTCCATGTGGGAGCATTCGGAGAGGGTGAGGGGACCCTTTTCACTCTCTGCAGCACCAGGGCATTTGGTGACCGATTCTAGTTTACTTTTAGTTTATAGGCATCAACATCAAAACTTAACTTGATAATATCAAATAAACTGAGCATTTAATAGAATGTTCATAATAAAATTATAATATCTCAGTGAGTAGAAGTTTAAATTTCTGACGTCTCACGACATAGTTTATATTGCTTTTTCAGAGTTTAAATCATTATTCACTTACTCTTTGCATATCTCCAGATATCACAAATATATCAATGATTTTGCGTATACTTATGACGAAATATTAGGCTAACCGGTTAGTCGATGGCTATGTATAAAATTTATATAAAACCATTTACTTATGTAATACATTCTGTCTCAGAAGGAAGGAGTTTTTAGTTGAGTATTTCATCCTGGTCTAGTGAAGACAGCATACATACAAAAAAGAATGTCTAAGTTTTGATAATTGGGATATATTCCACTAATTTGGCACAAAGTCAGTAAATATGTAGTCAATAAGTATGTAGAACCGAATAATGCGTTTCTATTACCACACTCCCGAAATGCTCGATCCAGCATTCGAATCTATGACCTAAAGTCTAAAAGTCCAATACTTTTGCATATGAACCACTATTCTACGCTAGGCCATGGGATTTATTGGAGAAGTTTAAAGGAAATACTTTAGTAAAAACAATTTAAGATGTATAAAGATGAGATAGAACGGTTTGCGAAAGTGGAAATTATTTTCTACTGAAGTTTTGGAGAACATGCCTATGTTATCTTATTACCAATTTTTTTGCTTAAAATGAGTAAAGTTGACGAAACTAGGTTTCTATTGTTTTTTTAAATTATGCAATAGAACTGTTGTACTTTTAATTTGATAGACACAACCGTGTCATCATACTTTGTAGATTCACTTTCTACGTTTTTTATTTTTGCTAATTTATTTAAGTTATCCGGTGTTTCGTCCTCATGTTATTGTAACCGACTTTTTTGAAAATATTTTCTATCGTTTAATTTACAGTTTGAATATTTAGATGAAGCAGGAGCTACACCGAAATTACTACAGGCTTATTTAAGTGCTTGCAAATCATACACATCTTCAGACTGTATTGCAAACGAATTTTCACTTTTCCAGTCTGACAATCAATTTTTAGAAACATTTTGTCGTTTATTAGAAGTAAATACATCAGATTCTCATCATAAAGATTCAATCAATATATTTTGGATTCAACCATTAGATACATCTAGTACAACATCCGTCAATATGGAATCTAAAGTTTGTAGTGGATTACTTACTACGATAGAAGATCATCTTTATCAAGTTTTACTGAATGTGGACCAATTTTTCATTGATGATTCATCTAATCCATATATTCCAATCAGTTTAGGAGTTCGTAATAAATTAGAAAGTTTGTGCTTAAAACAACTGCATAATTGTATTAGTTTACTTGATAATACAAACGATACTGCACGAAATATGCCTTCTACAAAACAATCAAAGCATACTAAGAAGTTATTATCAAATGATAAAATGTCAATTTTTAACGCAGTTCATCAACTATTCACTAAGGTATGTGCTATGTTCTTGGATATCTTTTTGATTACCTACAGTGTAGGATGATGGTTGGAGCTAGTCAACAAGAAACCCTGTAGACCTTAGGTTTCATGCTATTTGGTACTCGTCAGGAAGGTGTACCTGTAACCTTGAGGAAACTAGTACACCCTAGCTGATTCCATCCTGTCACCTAAATTCACAGTTAGTTACAGTACTATTGAGCTATTTCGGCCTCGACTGACCTATATGACTGAATTATGTTTGTGATGGATTGATCATTGAGTAATGACCAATGTCGTGTATATCAAGTTCTTAATGCTGATCGAATACTATCGGTCAGGTTGCAATGTATTCACTAGTCTAAATTACTCAACATCACTTGCACTATGTTAATATGTAAGGTTATGATGACCACACTGCAACTTGATCTATAGAATTCGGTCAACACTAGGAAAAACTTGACATATATGACACTGGTCACTGCTTAGTTAACAATTAATTACTAATTTACTCTCCCCATCTCTTCAAAAATGTGAACTATGCCAATCTGAACTGATAGACATTTATGTCCCACATATCAATTATGATTGACAGATTTTATGTACTAATTTTTATACAGTACTTCTTTTTTTATGAGAGTTAATCATGCAACGCATATATCGTATCCATAGTTCAAACCATGATCTGATCATAGACTACCAATCTAGGTTGTTAAAATCCTGGAAGTATTAGGTGGTTGTTTCGTTTCATTATGGGACTCTAGCAGTTCACATCTATGACCTCTCATCTGGAAATCAAACCCAAGACTTTATTGTTCATAATCTTCAATATAGAGACGTGTTGAAAAAGTGAGTGGCCAAACATATCAATTAATTTTCTTCCATAAAAAGGTATCTCACACTGCAAACATTTAAACTGAAGAGGAAGAATTTCAGGCAATGTATGTTTAAAAAAAAGACGAAATTTGTTTCATTGGTTAGTCCTTGTACATTTTTCATCTATCTAATTTTTATTTGCCTACTTTTATATTTAATATTTCGTCATATTCTTTTATTTTTCAGGTACATATATGTAATACGGTTGACCGACTAATGTTTGAATCTATAGAACTGCCACTTTCATTATCAACTGAATTGTTAATGAATATTCCGGAGAGAAATTTTGAAAGTTCAACAAAAAAAGAACACAGGTCATCGTCTTCATTGGCTTCATCATCATCATTTTCTCCTCCATTTATCGATGTAATAATTGGACGAGAATTTCTGTTTGATTGTTTAACTTCTATAATGGAAAAGCTGTCTACTAAAAATTCGAACCTATCATCTTCATCTCAATTTATTGTCATATGCCAATATGTAAGATATTTAGTTCAAGAAGGAATTTGTTTACTTGGTAATTTAGTGCATAAACCACTTCCTAAATCGAATTATGAATTAAATTCAATACAAAAGAATTATCAAGATTTATTAAAAACACTTGTATCACATAAATTGGTAAGTCTGTTAATTCTCTAGTTAAGAGTATCTTACTTCTTTCAGTTGTTATTGTTTCGCTTATTCTCATTTAAGGCAAAAAACACGGTTTACATTTGTTAGTTTTTATTTTATCATCACACCTGTACTAGTATCATTGTGCTATGACCTTATCTTATTGTTCAACATTTTGCGCATAATACGGTATACAACTACGGCACTCGAATATATAGATCCCACAGTCGCAAAGTCAGAAGACAAAAGAAAGCTGGGGAAGAATGAATAATTTCAGATCTGTTTTATATTGGGAGGATTAACTCATGAAATTGAATATTCAAATAAATGTCGGTAACCTTTAACATCCCTTCCCTAAGAATTACCACTACTTGTGTATTTTCTTGAATTTAACCAACAGATTTTAAAGTTGTCTTTGGATTTTAATTCACGTATTTTGTGTTTCCATTCATCATAAAAGCCTGATTATCGAAAACTAGTTACTAAAATATATCATTCTGGGAATTCTTATTTCGAAAGCTAGTGTAATATACATATGTAATAATAATATCCATATATTACATATAAGGGTAATAATAAATAATTTACCGCTTCACTGATATGGGCGATGATTCTGCAAAAGTGGAAAACATGGAATCTATGTAAATCGCTTCAAATTCCCTGGTACGATCAAGGGTAGGGAGAGTCAGTCCTTTCTTGAAACGCTCTCACATGGCCACGCGTATACAGCCACTCTGTTAGGGAAGTCCTATTCACCGCCTTCTTGCGGTGGGGGTGGCGTTTATGAAATTGAGGGGACGAAAAGTGAATATCCTACGCTTTAACCGGGTTGGTGGATATGGAGGGTCCACCTAGGGGAGTTGGAAAGCACTCATTCCAAATCAATGGTGCACATAGGCTCCAGGATCCTGAGAAAACAAATGGCGTATGAACCTGTTGTTGGTCACTGGTCACCGTGTGACTGCATCTCCTTACCTTACTCCACTGCCTTGTGGATCAGACCTTCAGGTCGAAGGCTCCGTGGGTGGCCCCCTAAGAAAACCACCTGTTTCGGTTTGGGCACCCGGGCAGTATCATAGCCCATACACAAATCAGGTGACTTGTGTGGCGTATGTGTATTCGGTGCCCCTTTGTACCAATATTTATGTGTTCGATTAAATAAATAAACTACATAAACACAGTGGGATGAGATTATTGATTTAAATACTAAAGTTGTTTATTTACTGATAGTATCAATGTTAGTAAAATATATTCAGTATTTTACCCAACTTTTCTAACCATTGTTAAAGGTAATCGTTCACACCTTAACTAAGTGGTCTGCATCTACTAACATGGCTCAGTTTAATAATCAGTGACTTTATAGACTGATGCCAAGCTTCAGTTTGGCCGCCGCTAGCCTTCGTTCAACTTACCTCTTCTACACCAACTAAAATAAGTAACACATGCTTTAGCCACCTCAGTGGATTAAAAAGATTCGTATTGTTTGCCTAGTACATTCGTTATATTTTGGGCAGATGGATATCTCACCTACTCCACAGGCCACACAAGTTCGTAAGAGCAACACTGTGGAATTTGCTTGGATCACATTCATATAGAGATGGTTCATTTTATATATGTTTTGTCACATACTTTCTTTTATTCAGATGGATTTCTTACCAGAATCTTGCGGAAAATATATCCAGTCTATTTTCCAAGCAGTAAATTCTGGAAGTTCGTCGGAAACGGAAGTAAACTCCAACCCTATTTGTGCCTTTATTCCTGACCTTCTTTCTGACCTACCTAATCTAGATATTGATCTTGATTCGAACTTATATCAAATTGATTCGGATGGCTTAAATTCTCTGGGACTTGGATTCTGGGCAGACTATGATGTATATCAAAATACTGCATCGTTCAGACAACAGATACCCAGAGGCGGATCCCCATTTGGGATTGTTGGTGATGTGGATATGCGCAGCTTAGCTAATCAGCATCAGTCTCCATCAACATCATTTCCTCATATGTCTATTCCACAATCCCGTGTAACTGGTGGACATGGACCTTTTGTTCATCAATCACTTCAAACTTTTACTAGAGAAAACCCACTTGTATGCGATCTTCAAGTAATACGTCATCTTTTAATAGCAAAAAATCCAACCGATGTAAATACGTCAGTCGATTATCTATTAAGGTCAGGTATGACACCAAATGGAATTTTAGAATTAAATGGTTCGTGGCTCCCATCTTTACATTATTTAGCTTCACTGGAGATTGTCGGACCACATCCTATCAATGAGAACAGTGTAAGTTATTATGTATTGATCTATTTCATTTATATACTCTTTTCTCTAACAAATGAATCAAGTTGTTTTCAATAAGTAAATACATTCCCAACATGGCTCTCGGTCCAACAAGTGATGATTTCATGAGTGAAGCATACGCTAAAAAGTGTACCGAATAGCCAGATTTATAAATTTGTACTTTGTAAGTGATTTACATCATTCCTTCAATATTGAATGTGTCGACTGCTTCACTTATCTTGGGAGTCTCATCAGTCTCTATGGGTTGATGTCCGACGAAGCATTTGCACGGATTCAGAGGGCTCGATTTGCTTTTATCAAATTGCGTCACTTGTGTCGTGGGTGAGAAATCCGTCTATCAACTGAAGTAGGAGTTTACTTTACGGCAGTTCGCTACGTTCTACTTTTTGGGTGTGAAATATAGTCACTAAGAAAAGAATCTTCACACTTTACTAATGTTCGATCGTAGGTGTCTTCGAAGCACATTTCTCGTATATTTTGAGACCACCGAGTAAGAAATATTGGGATTAGGAATGGAATGCTAGATAAAGATGGCAGATTAATTGATAAGGTGGTAAGTCTCCATCGATTGAGGTGATTGGGTCTTGTTTTACGTATGTTCGACCACTGTCTATCCCGACGGCTAATGTTGCGTGGTGCAAGTTGTTGCTTCAGGACTGGCCTGCGTCAACACCTGAACTTGAGGGTAGGGAGTGAAGTAGTCGATCGCATCGACAACTTCACTTATCTTGGAGGTCTGATCAGCTCTAATGGGTTGGTGTCTGACAAAATATCTGTACGGATTCGGAAATCTCGTTTGGCTTTTGCCAACTTACGTCACCTATGGCGGAGGTTAGATATCCGTCTATCAATTAAGGGACGAGTATAATGCGCAGCAGTTCATTCTTCTCTACTTTATGGCATCGAAACGTGGCCACTAATAGTAAAGATATTCGTAAGCTACTGGTATTTGACCACAAATGCCTTAGAAATATTGCTGACATCTGCTAGGATTATCGGGTAAGTAATAGTGAGGTTAGACGCATGGTATTAGGGAATGATGGTAAGTCAGTTGATGAGGTTGTGAATCTACATCGACTGAGATGGTTGGACCACGTGTTACGTATACCTGAAACCGATTACTATGACGTGCAGTGCCGACTAGTGTTAGGGGAGGCCAAACCGAAATGCGGCGTCACTCTTTGAAGTCACTAACTTCCAGCCTTAGCTATGTTGTTAGATGCAGACTACTTGGTTGGGGTCTGCGTGACTATCGTAACCAGTGGTTAGAGACATTGCTCAAAATCTTTTTAAGCGGCTCAGATGCATCCACTCTTTGTTTTTTAAATCCTAATTTGTTAAATTCCTCATGATCTTTTTATTTCACAGATTTATGTTTTCTTGAATCATTATTTTCGATACTTTGTCTTTTCTATTACCACTAATACTGTTACTACTTATATTACTCTGGTATTTGCCATGACAATTTCATCTCTCCTGTGCTAAATGAGGTGTGGCAACTTCAGCCGAGCTATACACGTACCAGGTTCTACCTTGCATTTGAATGACCGACTAATTTTAGTCATTAATCTATGGTCAAACAATATGGTCAAAGTGTTAAAATATACATTATTTTTGTGTCTCACTTTAAGTCAACCAATCCAATCGATTTATTGCTATCATCATCCGGAAATATTATGTGGGGGATCACAGTATTAATACAATTGGCTAAAGGTTCATCCATAATTCGTCATGAAATGTCACCATTCACAGGAGCTAGGGCTTTTCTACTTGCTGCTTTAAATAATTTGGCGTCAATTAATCCTATCGTACCGCCTCCATCGTCATCATCGGTTAATCATGTTACAACAACATCCGGTCATGTAGTTGGAAAACAATCACGTCCGTGCGATGCTTTTCAATGGATTCGTGCTGGTATCAGACATGAATTATTATTGGTTGACTTACTGGTAAGTTTATTGAACTCATCTATTTGCCGGTGTTACTTTTTCGTAGTTTCACAAGTTTTAAAGCATTGGATCTCTCCTGAATGGTTTCATAGAATTCCCTTTATATGTATATGTGAGTTATGGATTTTGAAAGCGTTTAAGTGTTTCCTCATGATGTGGAACTGCTAAGTTAATAATATTCGCCATGGGCTTACATTTTCCGGTAAGATAAATGAATCTATTGATGAGATTTTAAGGTTAGAGCTCGTGTTACAGTGTTCAGTCACTAATTACATGACTGCCGTGGGAGCAACGTAACCTTAGACAACTAGTGGAAAATAGGAAACACTGAATAGTTTGTTTCGTCGTATTATGGGTCTCAGTAGTGCTCACCCATAACCTTAATCTACTATTGTGTTTGTGTGTCGACTTAACTTGAGTCACATCAATTTGGGATAATATTACCTCTATTTTTCCAGTTTTTCGAACTCTACTTGCTACAAGTCATCAAGTGTTATTCAGTTTCTTTTTAAACAATGTTAAACCATTATTTATGATTTGTTTCATTAATGATGATGGTTTTATATTTTAAAGCATTCGTTATAAACTTACGTAAGATCTTGACAATATAGGCGTGTTGATTGATTTTGTTTGTTCTCCATTTTACACCTTTTTCAAGTTTAGTTCTCTTTATTTTAATAATCGAATAGAAAGTGTTACCAGTTTCATAATGGTGTTAATATATCTTTTGATTACCTGGTTGAAGACAGTTGGAATGAACTCCTAGGTTTATGATTCATAGGTATTGTTTCATTTATGTGTATATGTTAGAAAAATCTGTTATCTAACTTGTCTTATTTAGTGATGTTAAGTTCATTCAGTTAATTGTAAATTATGAAAAATATATTTTAAATGTTATTGTCTTTTTCAAATTAAAACAATAAAATAAGGAATTCTTGAATCCATCTTCATTTAATAATTTCGGTGGAAATAATAATCAGTCACATTCAATTACAAAATCAACTCTTCATCCTGGACAAGTATCATTAAATGATCTAATTAGACGAGTTAAAATTTGTCTGTGTTATGCTGCTGGTTTATCATCAAATGCGAATTCTTTAGAAACAAAAATGGAATCCATGAACTTGATTGCTTTGTCTAAGGAGTTAATTGCTGCAGCCACTTGTTTCTTGTTAATGGTCAAAGTGAGTTGTAAATTTTCAATGTTCACTATAATATAATATCTGTTGAACTGTGTAGAGTTATCGTAGTCAGTCAGTGGATAGATAGTTGAGGAGTTCAACTTTTATTTACCAAGTTGCAGGTTTGAATACCGCCCGACATACTTTTCGGTTTTAGCAACACTCACATTTAAAATATAGCTCTGGAAGCTAAGCACACGAATCTCTACCTTGTTATGAGGTAGTAGTAATGGTAGTGTCATACCTTGATTTCCTGTAAATGAATACTTTATTGATTATTTAAGTGGGTCAAGGACTTGGTGGTTAAAACACTTGACTTTCAACTAGCAGATTGTAGGTTTGAACATGGGCTCTCCCCGCTCTACCTGCTTTGATTTTAGTACCTAATTAGTACAACTAGACCTCATGCAAATGACATGCTTCAAAACAATATATATATATATATATATATATATATATATATATATATATATATATACTTGTATTTAGTAAAAAATTATACTTCGTTGTTAGTGTTTTCATGTGAGTATATGGCCACTGTGTAGAGTAATCAGTGACAAACTTAGTCGTATTGTGTGTAATTATGTATCAGGTTATTGACAATATTTAAATGGAACAATACTTGCCGTTTTACTTTCGGATATTTTATGGTGTTACCTTTATACTCCTAATTTTTATCTTACGAAACAGTAAATGATATCCATTTGTATTGTTTGTTCGGATCTTCCCATCGATCAATTTCAGTCCTAAACGTCAATCGGAAGATTCAAACGAACAGTACAAATGAATTAAATTTCACCTCATTGTACAAGCCAGTGGTTACCTAGAATCAGTAGCTAAGTGGATAACACGATGGCGTTTGAAGCAAGTGATACTGGGTTGGAGTCCTGAAGTGAGCATCAAATCTCCGATCCAGGTACATTGAGCTGATAAGTCCTGAATCCTACTGCTAGCTACCATCCATTTCTACTTGCAGTGAATGATATCATTTTTATCTTGAGGTTATTGTAGCTCAGCTTGAAAGTATTACTAAATTAGGTTTGCCGATGTAATATTACTTGCTTATGGGTAATAGATGAGTACATGAACATTGGTCTTTCAGTTTAAACCTGCTAGTTATTTATAAGACTGCGAATTAGTTGCTCGATTATGAATTTTGTAATCCGTTCATTTATTAAAGATTAAGAATTCAATTGATGTAACACTGATCTTCAACACAGTTTGTATGTATGCATATATTTGTGTTGATATCACTAAGTCATAGTTGTACAGCACTCAGAAAGAAAAGCAAACTACTATGAACGGATTAAACTAACGTGTTTGTTATTTATAGCCTGAGGTAAAAACGAATTTTTCTTCATATTGAAATTCATTTTTCTCAGTGTCCTTTCACTCATTTATGATGTCTTATGTACAATAAATCTGGGTTATGAATTACATTAGTTTGTGTTCATCTGAAGAATGATGTTTCATCAGTCACTGGAAATCAGTGCAACAGATTACTATCGTTCTATGGGAATTTCCTATTTTAACTTTTCACTGAAAATAGTACTGAATTTGTTGTAAGATATGCTGAGTATTGTATTCAGTTGTTATTTTCACCATTGAAGAAAAAAACATTCAAGTCTGTTAGTCATTCCGTTATAATCAACGTAGGGCTTGGTATAAATGTGGATTGGTTCTAGTTGTTCTGTTATAGAAAGGTAGGATGAGATAAAATTAACAAGGTGAATAGCAAAGGAATGTAGTAGCAGTTATAATTTAAAAGACTAAACATTGGAAGTATGGTACAAAAAGATGGGATCTAAAAGTATGTGTGGAGGAATACTTCAACTCAAGACCTAGAGAAAATGATTAAGAGCCAGTGCATTTGCACCATCGTGGTCGATTCTAAGCCACATCACTTATTATCTTCAACTTCTGGCCACAATAACCGTACAGACCCTAACCAAGTAGTCTGTACCTACCAGCTTGGGTATGATCAGCAGTTAAAAATTTCATGGACCAGTGCCGTATCTCCGTTTATTCTCTTTCTTCCAACCTATTCCTACATCGGATGACATCGCACCTTGAAGTAGGTAGTGATCGAAAATGTTTGGTAATTGTCTTAAATCATTTCAGTTGATAAAGATTCCAACCTCAACCGATTTGGTATTTTTTCCTGGTATCCTATTCCAGTAAGGATTCAAATAATGGAAAATGAATCTATTGCTGGTTGGTACAACTGGATATTATATATTGATTTTTGTCAGTGTGTAACATATATAAGCCTTGTCCATTTGAAACATTGAGTTGGTTTATTATATTTCTATTACTAATAACTTAAAGTGTAACAACAAAGTGTGTCCATGATAATAGTAAGAAAAATTTCCCACTTTGTATACTCTTTTCTGTCCCTGTCTTAGGAATGTGATTTCTTGTATCCCATGTCAATTCCATCAAAATCTATTTCACTACCTTCCGGAAGTATTTCATTTTGTGTCGCATGTGCTGGTTCCTTAGATTTAATTCGTATTCTTTTACATTTTCATGAAGTATTACATTCATCATCAGTGTCTCATGAAGGTTCCAACTCAACAACCACATCATCATCATCATCATCATCATCAACAACAACAACAACAAACTCTCATGTAAATTCAGAAAAACAAAATTCTAACCATTCAATCAAAAACATTTTAAGCGCTACCGTTAAATTTGGTAATGCAGATAGACTAAAAACTGTTATAAATGAATTTTATGGATTAATTATTCATGGATGCCTTGTCTCTGCAAATAATCCTATAGATACAATAAATAATTTGGCATTATCTGGATCGGAACAATCCGTGCTACAACAACAACACCAACGTAGTTCTCGAAATTACCATCCAGGTTAGCATATATGTTTACAAAAGTGTTTTATGAATGATGTTGACTAGTTTCCGTTTCTCTTTGATTAATCGTTAGACGACTAATCATCAGTTTATCTATTACTGTTGGGAAATGAATTGTTTTGTGAAAATTATACGAGAACCAGTCAAGATGAGTTTAATGAATGATCAATTTGAATCTTTAAACCGCGCCTATGACACTCAAATCCTGATTGGCTGGGTTCTAAAAACATAGCAAAGCACTTATAGATATCTGGATATTTTTCTCTGTGGTATTTTGTTGGAAGGATGAGCAAATCTTTGACTTTCGTTTATCTTGTTAGCAGCCTAGATGTTGAGTCAACTCGTGAATTGTAGTCAGATCTGGTTTGTAACAATCAAGCATCACTGGTGATTTACTTGTAAATCTTTAGTGGCCCGTGGATCTGACTCCCATTTAGATCGTACGAATGTTTGTTATCGCCTATTCTCGTATATAATCGTCGACTTAAATCGCGTTAGTGAATAACGGAATTAAATAAGTCAAATAACGAGAATGGGATTTCGAATACATTTATTTTGTATATGAGGTGAATGGAATAGCAGGAAGAGAAGCGATGCAGAGTGGAGATGGCTGGTAAGCCAACTCATTTTTAGTCAGGCGTTAATTAATATTTATAGGCAGACAAAAATAAGCTACAGACATGTGATGAGACATGGGATAAGAAGTGTACACACATATACGCTCATATAAAAACAATGAAGACTGGTAAGCAAATAACTAACACGGTCAACATATGACTCAAGTGGAATGAATAGATTGGCCTGTCCGAAAGCCAGAATAAGATATATGGGCCTAAAATAATAAGTGACACTACAAATCCTTATGTAATTCTGGCGCTAAATAAATTTACGAACAGATTGTAGGAGATGTTTGTAGATTACTTTTACGAAAAATAATCATTTTATAATGTAGTTTACTCATCTTTAAGTATCTAAAATAATAATTTTTTAAAAATTGTAGACCTCACTTCACAATAAGACTCAATGCATAATCTTGATAAATAGTTTTTACAATTAACTGGATGGATTCATCATAATTAGTTTAATGTATAGATTGTATTTGTCAAAGATTGGTCTCATTTCAGGTAACATTGAAAATCAGGCTACCACTGAATAGATGGGGTGCAGTAATGTCTGAAGCCAAAACAACTTTATTCATTAACAATGGAGGATTGTAGTAATTCATCACAGAGATTGATCAAATTTGAAACTGTCCCGTTAATTGTAGATGCAGTGGTTCTGATGGTTAGACGTTCACCATAAAAACTGAATATCTTGGATTCAATTCTTGGTGAGGTTGTGAATGTTTACTTTTAAAAAGTCTCAAACTAGAACAAATCATTTATTCAATGCTTCCTAGTCTTCTATAGTACTTTAACTAAGATCAATGTTTTTAATTTGACAATTAGTTTGTATATTTTCCAATATTAAATTTCATTATTAATATTGTATGTAAAGTTTTTATTTATTTATTTATTTATTTATTTATTTATTTATTTATTTATTTATTTATTTATTTATTTATTTATTTATTTATTTATTTATTTACAGATACATTATCTAATCGTTCTGGGATCAGTTTGTCTAGTTTATACATTATAGGTGAAATGTTAGCAACAATAGATGAAATTTCACTTTTAATGTCTACTGTTGGACTTAAATTTCCTTTAGATAATAAACGTATACTTTCTAATTATTCATTTATTGGATTACAATTATTAGATTATTTAATAATTGGGTTTGCTCAAATTACACATCAAATTTGTGGAAAATTTAATTTACAAATTTTAGAACAAATAATTAATTGTTTTAATACAGTTAATAATGTAGAAAATATAAAAAATAATGAACAAGTGAATGAAGATACATTAACTACAACAAAAGGGACAACTACTACCATCACCACCAGTGTTACTAATACATCTACTGATTCACAGTCTACTACTAGATTTCGGTCTTCTAGATGGGATAAACCAAAAGATAATTTATCCACTACTAAAAAACATAATAATAGTAATAAACGATATCATTCTGACAGTCATGAATGTGTGTCGTTTCTAGATAAACAACTGTGGATTTTAGACTTGGAAACGAATTCTTCAGTAAGTCTGTTTATATACATGTTATATTTATAATAGATAATTCGATTTATATGATAATTTTCCAAAATAACTCATATACTGAATACAAGTTTATATAATTGGCTTAATGACATAATTTTTCTTCGTGTGTAATGTAATTAGTGTTATTATTGTCTAGCTATGGATTGAATGTTTAATTTTTGACGTAGGCTTTGGACTTCCATTGTTTTAGCTAGAAAGCTACAGTTTTATAAAGAAATTTGACTCTTGTATTCCAGTTCTCAGTGAATGCAGCAATTAATATTGTCACTCATGAAATACTTATATTTATTTTGCATACAAGCTAGTTACCAAAACACTTGTCATAATACTGCGTAAACCAAGTGAAACTTAATCGTTCATAATTCATCTCATTCTATAACGTAAATTGGTGCAATTAGTACATGAGACAGGAAATTTACAAGTTATATAATGAACTGATCTTAGTTAGATAACCAGCACGAATATGGAAGCACTGGACAGTCGTTTCGTTTTTGTATGAAATTTCTAAACAGTATGAGTCTACTGGGGATCAGACCCGGGACTTTCAAATCTTGCAGTGTGTGCTTAATCCACAGTCTATCAAGTTAGCATCCAATGTTCCACTTATTTAACTTTATTCACTATCGTGGTAGAAGTGTCTAACGTTTCTCTGACTGAAATCAGTCCATGAAGTAAACTATCAAATTCAACAATCTCCATAATCTCCCTACACTAATGGGGAATTTAGTCAATCAGAAAAAAAGGAGAATAAAGCGCATACTAAATAGTAATGAAAAGTGGAATAAGAAGAATAACTCCAGAAACCAATCATACTTATCAAAAGAGTAGAATTTCCGTTGATTATCACAGGATTCATCAAAGTCAAACTGAGTCAGAGTTGTGGGTATTTAGAGGTAAGATTAGAATAATTAATGGTATTTGATATATTGTATCGAAAAGATATAGTCGAATCTGTCCGAGACTCACTTTAGCGGCTACAAGTTCGCCGGCACTTAAAGACATGACGATCGTGAACCTATGTGAAAGGTAGTCCTTTGTAATTATAAGTAATAAGTAAAGCCATGAATAATGTATACAGTAACTATTATTTCAAACAAGCATCACAAAAATACAGTTAAGTGCTCTAGTGATTATCAACCCATAAAATATAAACAAACAAAATTCTTATCTCTAATAGTCTTTTTGGTAAAAGTACACTACGGAGACTACCTTGAACAACCCATCAATCTATTAGAAGACAGCGTTTAGTTCTGAAACAATTATAAGTAAAAAGTAATAACATTACGGTCTATAAGACGTTTTAAAAGGATTAGTGGACGTATCAGAGAAGACCGAAATATTCCTTGTCAAAGCCCCTAGACACCCAGAAACGCCATGAAATTTTATATCCAGTCAGCGTTGAATAGAGTCTTTGCAGAAACATTCAGAAAATGCAGAATCACGTCCCACGGTTTTGTTTGGAAATTTACATACGCTGCTGCCATATTTAATGTGGTTCCAGAAGTCCTAGGTCTCATATGACTGTACATACCCTCATTTTTCTGTACACAAACTAACCTTGAATTAAAGTTTTATTTGCTATTCTTACCCTCTCTCTAATGTTTCAGTTAACATAGAGAATTAGTTGGAGTTATCAAAACCGGCCAAGAAGACAGTTTAGATGTATTGGTGTCAAGATTTATCTGAACCCAGACATATGGAATTATAGATAATCACAAACGAAAAATGTTAAATTTGGGAGTTGGTTAGTTTGCGAATGCTTTTTAGCTGCCCAAACCACTGTTGACCATGTTCTAGAACTCATCGATTACTAGGGTCATTAATTAATTAGCATTCTGGATGCAGTCTGCACAAAGAGCCGATGGTTTTGGTATAGTGTCTTACATAACACGTCACATTAGTCGGGCGTGGTTGCACCTTTGATCGTCTTAATAATTAAATATCGACAATTATTATCTACCTTTTCATAAGGTACAAGCTATCCGATCGTGTTTTGACTTCACTCGAGGGTCCAGGAAGCGCTGTCTAGTATCTTGTCTGTTTGGCGATATAGTGTAGTTTTACTATCTTAACTTTTTCTAAAAGATACACCAATTTTTGTAATTACATTTATATTTATAGATCTGTGGGAAATCGTTATGTGATCACCTGAATTATTTCTTAAATTGGGGTTTAACTGCTCGACCTGAAAGGATAGATTGGCTTATATTACGTGGTGAAATAGAATTTTTCGTGAAAAATTACCGTCAAGCTTTGTCAACATATCTTGAATTTGGTAGCGTTGTCACGGACGCATTCTCAAAGAATGTTTTATCAGTCTTTTTTACAAAAGAGGTATTACGGTTTTATTATTGTGACGGTTCATATATATATATATATATATATATATATATATATATGCGGTCGTATTATAACTTGTGCCCTATTAATGTATAACTTCCATTACTTCATTGTCTAGAAACAGTTATATTGTATCTGGGTTTTTTTAATATTAGCTGGTGTAATTACGCTAAAAATTTGTATAACAGTTTTGACTGAGCGCCCACAGTATATACATATTTTAGTTCTGTGCTTCCTTTTGAGTGAAATTTTCACCAGAAGGTTACTACTAATTAGTTGTTTAAATGGATTTAATAAATTCTCCTCATCCACCCTTCCCACAAATCATTACCTTTCTATTTAGATTTTGTTGGGTAAGTGTTCTTCATTATATATGGATTTTGTTAATTTACTGCTTTTGTGTATGATAACCTATAGTCAGTTGTTTGTGGAAATGGATAGACTTTGTCGTTTTTATGATGTCTTTGTTTCAATGATAATCTTTTCTACATATTCATTTACACAGTATCAGTGTGTAAAGTCTAAGTTGTAAGTCATTGTCCTTTTATTATTAAGAATACTTAATTAAAATACTCTCATCTGATGCATACATCTACACATTACTATGTATTATCGTGGACTTTAAATCTATACATTTCATCGGTTCAGTTTTACAAACTTCGTAGATCTGTACAATATTTCTCATCTATAATAGACTTAATTTGTTTCAGCTCATTAGCTTTGTTGATTGTTTTTTGCGAATCTGTCATCATTTTTCTATTATAACAAAAGCTACTTGTGTTGAATTTATATATATTAGTTCATTTAGTCTTCGGATTGATGTTTAGGGCTGCAACTGATACGTGAACCCTGTACGGATAGCCTCGTGATTGCCGTTAAGTCACACGCATTTTGAGCTTAGAAATGGACGGTGGCTAGCAGTTGGAGCTGATGAATCGCAGTCCTAAACGTCATTTGGACGATTCAAACAGCCAGTATATATATGAATTAAAATTTTCATCTTACAAACCAGTGGTTATCTGAACTCAACAGCTAAGTGGATAACGCGATGTCGCTTAAAGCGAAGGGTAGTAGGTCTGAGTATCGTAGTGAACATCCAGGTACATCGAGCTGAAAAGTCCTAAACAGAACAAAATGCACATTCTAGATCCTACTGTCATGTACTATTTATCTTTACCTAAAATACTATTGTCCAAATTTAATGATGGGATGATATTGTTCTTTTTAAGTTGGATGGCTTAATTGTGCAATCTCAGTTGCTATTCTAGGCTAATTTGCTATAGATGTAAGCTGGCAAATGATATCACTAACTTACTCCTGAAAATGGACTAATTTATCACTAACTTTTATCCAAAGTAAGATTCTGCTTTCAATCATAAAAATTGAAATTTCGTAATTAAACCATCCCACTCAGAGGACACAACACTACTAAAACTACAAAACTTATGCATAATACTTCATCATTCCGATGTCATTTAAGAATATAATTTTATTTTTATGTTTTTATTTCATGTTATTAAGTTGGTGTTTCGTATGATGTGTTGTCTTCAATATCTCGGATTATTTTATGAAAGTGTTGTTCTTTCACAATTCGGACCATCCTCTGATGAATCTCTTGTGGATAGTGTCATTCAAATTATTAATAGTCTAGGTGAAAATTCTAATGGTTGGCCAATAACTCAAATAGATACTTTTAGTACTGCAGTAATAAACCAACAACCATGTTCTTTTGATAACAGTACTTCTGCGGATTGTTTACGTGGATCTTGTGGAGGTTCACTTCTTCATACTACATTAGATTGTCCCGATAGTTTAATTCCTTATTTATGGAATATTCGTTTACTATCAGCACTCGAACGTTCTGCTTCAAATCGTGGTGCCCTTTTACAGTCTACCAAGTTTAAAGGTAATAATTGTTCTGTTGCTTTAATAGATGACAGATTTTTGTCGAGTTGAATATTAAGAAACTGTATATGTAGAGAGTAGTATTGATTGATAAATTATATGGAGGTATAAATGTTGAAAGAGGTTACGTAACAATCTAACAGCTAATTAGATGTTTTTAAGATGAAAACATTTTATACAAGTGAGATAATTGTTCCTTTAATGATTATGAAGAACAGATTAAATAAATTTTTTAGTAATGGTTAATTCACTTCTGAAGAAAAAAATACAACAATAAAGACAGTAGGTTATTGAGTATGGAAGCTAGGAGCGGTGTTTAAGCCACTGTAAAGTGGAAGATTGGAAAGGTTTCGGTACACAGATTAAACTAGAATAGGTGTATTACCAAGGCCTCTGTTGTAAGTAAGTTTCTAATTTTTAATCCCTTCAAACCCCTTCTTTTGAATTTATGAGTGATTTTAAAGAAGAATTCTGGCAGGGCAATTTCGCTAGTCCTTACGAAATGCTAAACTATTAACTGTCTCTGTTGATCTTTTTTCATAATCAAGGAGGGTGATACTAGGAGATCAATTTCCAGAGTGCTCGCTTTGTACTGCTAATACAGCTTACCACACAAAACCAGTTAAACTTAAAAATGCAGATTTATGTGGATAAAGAGAAAGCTTACCTTCATATATCCACGAAACATAGGGAGAGTTGAGAAACTGGGCGAAATAAAATGTCTTTTTTTGGTTTTAACATTGAAAGAAAGTTTAAAGTCATTTTATAAATAATTCATTTTAATAATAAGTTTAGTGACACGTAGTTCAAAAACGATTTTATAACTATTTGGATCGCTTACGAACTACTTCCAAAATACCTCTCAACATCGGCAAGTAGGTTACGTGTAAGGTACGATAAGATATTGAACTGAAAAAGAAGTCATCCTAGAGGTGTGTGTAAAATTCTCAACTCAACATAGATGCATGAACATGAGTACATACCAAAAGAGACCTTTTTGAAGTAGAAAGCGACCATGGCTTCCTAATGTAGATCGTCTTGTTCGGTAATTTCTCATGATAAATGATGTACTGACGAATATTCCATGCTGCCATGCATTATCAAGATCTATACAAAGTTGCAAAATTGTGTACATCTTTTGATAGATGGCATACTATCAACAGTGATTGTCAATATGTTGTGGCGGATAACGTCTCATATGTACCTTACTAAAATCACATGTTGGTACATTTTCTACGTGCTGTTATTATAAAAATAAGGATTAGTCTATTCTTTTCTTGGTTAAACATACGTCGTTCCTAGCATTTACATCAGTTTCACTCTTCTCTTTACAGCTCGAATCAATAATCCTGAACTCAATGCTAACAATCCAGATGAAATATTATTGGAAAATAGATGTGCTTTAAATCTTGAATATCTTCGTTATTTGTCCAACGTTTATTTGATTTAATCATACCACTTATGTCTGCGAATAACAGTTGTCAATACTTTTGTACAATTCTTTATATTTTGATACTGTAATACAGTTCTATAAATATGTCGACCACATTAGTAATCTGAATAGTACAGGCGATATATCTCCTTCTTGTATCTGGGTGGGATTATCGATAACTATACTTATTGATGATTTCTTAGTAATAGACATGAACCAAATTTTGCGTTGGAGATTCCCCCGAAACCCCACAGCTATTATTTTACCCTTAGTCTATCGAACGTTAAAGGAGGAATTTTTTATGAGTATTGTTACATTCGAATTCCCTATGATCCCGGAAGATTCTGCATAACTTCTAGGCTTATCTGTCGCTTACTAACAGAACACCAGTAAATCAAAAGATAAAAACTTTGCTTAAAAAGACGATATTATGTGGGTTTGAATATACGTATGAAAATCACGCGAATGTCTGAATAGTTACTATAGTATTCTAATTATAGTATGAATTAGGAATTCCAGGATTAACGCAATTGAATTAAGAAGACACAGGCACAACGAATGTACTGTATTTAGAATTCGAAATCGAGCATTCAACAAGTACAAAAGAATCATTAGTTAATTCAAACACCACATCCGCCACAGCTTAAATAGAAGTATAAGTGTTTGTAATCGGTTGTACGTCTTCTTGTTAAGTTCATCCTGAGTCTGTCCGACATTGTATAAGATAAAAACTTTGTAGTATCTAGAAAGTGCTCATTAGTATTGGAATTAACAAACGAAATCGGAACAGACTCACCTGGAATTGTATACAACCAGCATGTCGGTTTTGTAATGAAATCATTAATATCTAGAATTCGAACCATAGGTTTTTCAACACTATCCCCCCCCACGAAATAATGTTGGATCTTTATACTCCCAAGTTATGAATAATGTGGCTTCATTTAAAACATATATCTCACATTGTTTAGAGTAAACATTAGAACTGTTTTTGTGATAAGAGTAAACAGCAGTTGATATGAAATCATCCGAAATATAATAAAACTCGAGGTCACTTAGTACTCGTGCTTCGCATTGGGCAGGTTTTTCACGAAGATCAAATACATTATGAGGATAGGTAATATATGATATGACATCAGGATTTGATTCTTCTAAAATATTCTCATGAAATTCATCAGGACTGTCGTTGCAGAGCGTAGGATCGTTAGAAAAATCAGCATCTATCCAAACCACATCAGGTTTTCGATCATGATTAGGTTCATTTAACATATTTTCCTCAGAATTGCAAGTAATTTCATCAGAAATATGTGAATCATTAGGAAAAGTCATACTTGGTACAATAGCATGAGAATTCTGATAAATCGGTTGATTAGGAAATGTTGTCTCACAAGAATTCTGGATTTCATTTAACTCTGAACTGCCATATGACTCTGCACTGTCTTTTGAAATCGTTGATCAAGATAAATGATCATCATGAATACTCGACTCAGTAGAATCAGAATTACAAGACTTAATATTAATTGCAGTAAGATGAACATTAGCATTACAAACTGACTGAACTTGTCCAATATCACGACATTTGAAGCATTTAGAATTATGAAATTTACATGAATTAGAAGAGTGGAACTTGCAACAGGACAAACATTGACCAAACTTGTCCCCATCCTCGTGAACTGCATCCAAATTCAATGAATTGTCTGCATAACCTTGAGTATGCACTGGGTTGAGATGACATAGTAATGTAGTGGACTTTTTTATATCCTCATGAATCATTTTACGAAATCTTCCTCCTTTACGACATTTGAAATTTGTATACTGAGCATAGTCTAGCAGTAGATCCCTGAGAGCTGTATAAGAAAGCGAAATGGGTTTTTCCGGCATAGCCAGAGTTCTTAATAAGCTGTATGCTTCTTTTCCAATGAATGTGAGGAAGTGTGCCACAATATTAACATCCTCATCATCTTCCTTGGTCATAGCCCAGATTTCGAACCTTTCAAAGTAATCTTCAAAAGCTTCTGAAGTTGAATGAATATCTGACTTTTCCATTGCAGGCTCCATCGCGACGCCAATATAGTATTCTAATTATAGTATGAATTAGGAATTCCAGGATTAACGCAATTGAATTAAGAAGACACAGGCACAACGAATGTACTGTATTTAGAATTCGAAATCGAGCATTCAACAAGTACAAAAGAATCATTAGTTAATTCAAACACCGCAGTTACGCAGCGAGATTCCCTCAGTTCGGTGTGTGCTTAATGAATTTGGTGCAATCAGGCGATCGAAAAAGGCAGAAGTCTGCTATCTAGCAGAAAACCCCAAGTTATCAGTAAGGTAAAATATAAGACGAGCTAATTGTCAAAGAGAAGTGTGTACAATTATGGTCTTGTTTGGTATTATTTCATTTATTCTTGTCACTATGATGGTAGACAGTGTCATATACCGTTGGGATCTGTTTGTGGACTAATACTACACATATCTTTTTATTGTATAATTGTTAAGTAACTAACCTATATATATATATATATATATATATATATATATATATATATATATATATATATATTCCTCTTGTAATAGGCTTTATTTTGACCTACAGAATATTATTATACGATTTACCAATTACTAAGTTATGCCCAGTCTATCAATTGCAGTCTCCCACATTCATAGCCACTTTTGGCTAAATCTTGTACAAATGTTATTTTCTACTTTATGGTGTGATGTGGTCTGTTTGGTTTTTATATAAACCCAGTACGTTTGAAATATATGCGGAGGCTGAGATTTATGTTCTGGACTCAACAGGCAGGAAGAAGAACCGATAAGGACTCTAGACGGCTCGTACGGCTTTGTGTCATTGGTCCGGTTGATAAGTCGCTGTCCTCGAATTGGCGGTATCATTACGTTATATATTAATAAGGCACAAGGCCTCAGGTTATAACAGACTTAATCCTAAAAGTAGATTTGTCATAATGTGACCACCTAATCTTTAAGGTCTTACTTGGAAGTCACATCACAGTCTACTCTGTCTGGTTCTATTGCGATAATCATCAATATAATCTCTAGGATTTCTGAACAGTACATTTGGTCTGGGAAGAGAGTAATATGTTTTGTAGAAAAGCGAGAGGTTACACATAGTGACCACGATTTCATGGCCCTTCTATTCTATAACGGCTAATATTTTTCGCGTTCACCAATTTTGAGTGTCTCAGCAGTTATATGTTCAGCTTCAAAGATAGTGTGGTAAGGAGCGAATATCACTACGTGTGGTCCACCAAAAAGGAAGTTCATAGTATCCTAATAGCTTACACAGATGAACAGTCGAAATTTCCAACAGCTGCACATGTTTCTAACTATCAAGAGGCACTGTTTCTATTCTCTATGGATGACCAGATTAATGAAACAAGGGACGACAGTCCATTATGTTGGCCATCAAAATCCAGTGCTTTGGTAAAACAAAATCGAGACAATCAGTGAGGAATTATGTTGTATCAACAAAAGAAAAAATGATAATACGTCCAAATGTGATAATCTCAGGCGAGCCGGAAGATATAGTAAAGTCGTCGAAGGGCCAAATTTGTACTCAAGGGGAGACGAATTGCTGTCATGTTGAGTGATAGGATTTTTACGCCTACGGGAAATGTATCACGGTACAGATAACTCGTTATCATGAGAACGCTTATGTCCAACAACCGACCAATACGTTTAGACGAGCTTAAGCAACCAATAAGCAGCAAGGACTCTGAGTTATACACAGCTAGTTTTTTCTAGATCCAGAACATATGAAAAGCTTTTATAAGCATTAGTTGGCATAAATGAGGTCAGTGCAGAGGATATATGTTGAAATTTAACCCTATAAAACACGTTAATGAGGGAGCAGTATATTATGTTGTGATATTCTTATGTTTAGTAGTTGCTAGCAAGTAAACGAGAGACTCTTTAGTACATGCAGATAATTAAGGTCAGCATAAAAATCCTGCTTCAAACCGTATCTTTCCGAAGTTGCTCATATCTTTGCCAATCTTGTTTTGAAAGTTTCTGAAAAAGCCTTAATAAAAACCATCCAAGCTGTTTTGAATATTATGGATACTATAAGGATGGGAGGTGTAGTTATCATAAATGTATAGTAGGAGCATCCAGAAAACAGCAGATCACAGTGGTCTGGACAACGGATTCACAACAATACTGAGATAAGTTTGTAGTGGCATTGGATAATAGCCACACAATCCACAAAGCTGTGAACACGAGACTACTCAGAAAATAAATATTCAATATTTAACGCCGAGAAATACCTAACAATGGAGAAGGCGCGAACAAGGAATTGAATGGACTGGAGTTGATCGAGTGGCGTGGGTCGTCCATGCAGACGTGGTCCATCTCAGTGTTACTTTATATCTTCTATTCATATCAAATATATTGTTCTTTCTCTAGCCTAACCTTGTTCCTCATCATGTATTGGTAATTGATACGATACAGTGAGTTGGTGTAGTCGATGGTGTGACTTCCACGTAAGATCTTATAGATTAGGCAGTTATATCATGACAAATCGACAAGTTTAGGATAAGTTTATTATTAGAGCAGTACTAATATCATATTAGACCATAATTCTACATTGGTGAGCCCAACTAAAGAAACGCAACCTATTATTATTAATCCTTATTTCCACTTCAACTTTCTCGATCGATTTTATATTTATGTTAACGAAAAAACACGCGCGCTATTTAAAAAGGACAGTGGTATTTTTCCTCGCTGAGTAAATTTCATTGTTTTGATCGTTTATTACGTATCAAGACTACTGTTTTTCACTTTAATTGAATTTATTTCAGTTAAAGTATTCGACTAAAGTATCGTTTTTACTGTTTTGTCGTTGGTACTCTTTAGTACCACTTTTTCAACTGTATCTGTTAGTACTTTTGGTCCTAGCAATCTACAGCTCTTCACTTTTTTTGGTCATTGATAATTTTTTTGTTTCTGGGTATCATCGCATATTGAAAAAACCCCTCCTAAATGACCGGACAGTGTAAAAAAAGCAGTTGCCAACGTCCGGGTTGTCGTTATCCTGTTGAAAGCGGCATGCAGTGCGACGAGTGCAAAGGCTGGTACCACGAAGTTTGCACGAACTTAACGCCTGCTGCTTTCAAACGG